GTGGGGGGGAGGGAGAGGCCGTAATTACTCAGGAAGCAGAGGTTGTAATTAGCCCCTCTGGGCACACTGGGACGCAGCCACAGCTGACTGCATGTCTGGGACTAGGGGGTGGTCTGCTCTGGGCGTGGGGTGGTGGTGACAGCGAACCAAGGCTTCTGGGGCACCCACCCTGCCCACCCATGGGTGGGGTAGTGCCCATGCAGGATGGCAACACGGCTTGCCACCATCCAAAGCAACAGGGAGCTTGCAGGGTAGAAGGAACCAGAAAGAGCACACTGGCCTGGGCTTGGGGACTGGGTGGCCATTTGGGTGGCCAGATCTGTCTTTGCTCTCTTTGGCCCCAGGCCCACTGTGCAGAGCCTGCACCTGGCTGCCGGGGGCCACTCGCCGTAGACCAGCCACAGTGCCGGTCAGATGGGCACCAAGATGCTGCCCTTCTGGGGTTCTGCAGAGAGGCCACGGCCAGTACCCCAGGGAGAAGGGGGCCCGTGGAGGCGAGCCCGCACCGTCCAGGCTCTGTGGACGAGGACAGTTGGGGGTAGAGCCTTCCTTCGAGTCCAGCAAGGGCCAAGAGCCTGAGCGGGCCTTCTGCTGCCTCACCGAGCTGGAGCTCAGCTAGGACATCGGCTGGCAGATTCTGAGCGTCGGCCTCTGACCCCAGGACCAACTGAATCTCACTGTCTGCCCTGCTGGTCTGTTTCTCTGCGAAGGCATCGCTAGAGCAGGAGGCATGGCGTGAGGTGGGACGAGAAGAGGGCGTCAGGGTGAAGAGCATCTGGGGGCATAGGGCTGCGGGGGGAGGCGGGGAGAAAAGACGGGGTTCCCAAGACCAGGCCTGCCTATTTCTCTATATGGACCCAACTCAACAAATGCAGAAATACAAACCCAGATTCCTATGGTAAACAAGTTAGGAGCCCTCACACCTTGCTCAAACAGGTTTGCAAGCCCAGTCCAACATTGGGGGGGCCGACCCCCCTGCAGTCAAAAATCTGATCGCATGAATTTGAGCTCCCCCAAACCTAACTGGTTGGCGGAAGCCTTCTGGGTAAGCTGTGGACACAGTTACACCATGTCCATCTATCCTGTAGTCTCACAGGAGTGGTCTACAGAAGATCGCAGGTGGGGACCCATGTTGCAGGACCGCCCTGCGCGTATCTGGCTAGGAGAGGATCTCGTAACTGCCTGGACCCCTGTGGCCCGTCCGTGCTGCTCACGGTCAGCTGCCCCCAACCCCAGCATTTCTGGGGTCGGGTCACCTGCCAGGATGTTGCCATAATCAGTACAGCAGGCCCTCGAACAACATGGCCATCAACCTTGCTGTGTTGTAATGCTGACGAGAAAAAACACCCCATGCCGTTACTTGAGGGCCCCCTTTGGCTCACGGTTGCATGTCCAGGCCCCCCCGGGCCCACTTCAGTGAGGCCTGCTGCGCCCAAGCACCCGCTCGGTCCCGGGGGCCCCGGGGTGCGGGTCGCCCGGCCGCCCCCACGCTCACCTCGCACCACGGTGACGTTGCGAAGGATCTGCCCGTGCCGCATGTCCACCGCCTTCATCTCCTCCATGACCATGGAGAGGTTGCGGACGTTGAAGTCCAGCCGGGCGCTGAGCAGGCCGAAGCGCTCCTGGAGCAGCGCGGCGGTGCCCAGCATGAGGGCCACGGACTTGTTCAGGTAGTACAGCTCCTCGGCGTGCGCGTGGAAGCCCAGCGTGCAGGACAGCCGCACGTCGTCCAGGTACTTGAGCATGCTGTGCACGTGGCTGTCGGTTGCGTTGATGTTGGCGAAGATGGTGCCGATCTCGATCTCGTGGGAGGCCATGCGTCCCTCCAGGGTCTCAAACCGCTCCGCCGTGCGGTTCTGTGCGTAGCGTGTGTGGTACTGCAGGTCGTGCATGTTTTCCTCGTGGTCGTCCAGAAAGGACGAGATGTTGTCCAGCTGCAGCTGCAAGCCCATGACCTGCAGCACCAGGTCGTGCACGCTTTCGGAGTTCTGGCTGATGCGCTGCGAGGAGGTGCCCAGCGCGGCCTGGATGCTCTTGACCACCTCGCCCGTCTTGGCCGAGGTGGCGCGCAGGCTGCCGAAGAGCCGGGTGTAGTTCTGCCAGTCGGTGACGACCTTCTGCAGGGTGAGGGTCTCCTCGTCCGTCTTCCGCCGGATCCCGTGAATCCACTCGGAAGTCTGCCCCGCCGTGAAGTTGACCTGCTGCAGGGCGGCCTTGACGCTGTAGCACTCCTGGGCGAGGTCCTTGAGCGAGAGGTCCAGGCCGGACGTGGTGGCCTGCCAGCCCCTCACCTGCGTCAGGAAGAACCCCAGAGACTGGTTGACCTGGTGGATGGAGAAGGAGCAGCTGCCCGTCTCCCGGGCCAGCCGGCTGGTGGTGGTGGACAGCAGTTCGTGCGTCTGGGCGGCCTGGCCCAGCTGAGCCTCCTGGGCCAGAAGCGTCTTCTGCATCCCCGCCAGCTCCTGCTGCAGGCTCCTGATGTCCTGCCCCAGCTGCCCGGCCTCGTGGCAGAAAGAGCAGTTGCTGGGAGCTTTCAGATCTTTGGGGGAGAGAGGGGCGACACTTTGAGTGGCGGGAGGGCCGGGGCCCGAGCAGCTGAGGCGCCTCTGTGGGCGCCCTCACAGCACAGGGGGCGGCCGGCACATCCCAGCCCCGCCCCTCCCACATCCCGCCAGGCAGAACTTTCTGGAAAAGCCCGGCCACGTCTGTGAGATCTGGATTCTTCTATGCGTTTTTAGTCTGATCTGAAAGTCGGAACCAGGATACCGCCCTCTCGCCGGCAAGCGCTAAGGCGAGGTCTCTGGGGTCACCAAGAGGCCCCCCCTCCTCTTACTTGGCCCTTCTGCAGCAGATGGGCAGAAGATGGGCCAGGGTCTCTCTCCCCAGGGTCGATGAGAGCGAGCAGCTGGTGGCGGGACATTCTCTCCCCTCCCGAGCAGAACAACCTCTAAACCTGCTCTTCTGGCTCTTTCTGTCTCATGCTCAGGATGGTACGTCCCCGGCTGAAGCGGGAGGTAAAGAGCAGCCTGCGTGGGCCAAGTGCTAAGTCAGGGAGGGCTTGACAGGACGCTCTGGTAGCCCCCAAACATCACCTCAGGTCTGTGAGGCTGCCCGGGGAATGGCCCTCTCTGTCTCTCTCTACCTACAGGCCTGGCTAGGGCTGGACTGTCCACTGCTGGACAGGGCCGCAGGGAGCCGTGTCTGGGGAACACTGCCTCGCTCTAGACACCCCTCCTGGGGGAACCCTGGCCTTCCACCCACAGTCATCAGCTCAGCTGGACACATACCCAAGCCCTGGAGATTTTCTTGCATAGAGACAAGTTTCTTGTCATAAATGGCTTGGGCCAGGGAGATGTCTTCAGAGAGAGAGTCCACTTTCCTGAAAACTGTAGGGGAAAAAGAGATGAGAAGCTGGGTAGGGTCTTAGCTCAGAGAAACGACAGCTGGGTGCTGCATCTTAATCACCCCAAAGCCACTCATCCTTCTTCTGTGAGGCTTCCTAGTAGGTATAAGGGAAGAGGTGTCTTCTTAGGGCCAGAACTGGTTTCACATCCCTTAAAAACTCTATTTGTCCACCCA